CAAGCACTAATTATTTTATCTCACTGTATAAATTAATATTTAAATAACCACAAAAACTAAAGCCCTCTTAATATATACTTTTTTTGAATCGCATAGATATTTAATCTCCACTCTACCAGGAAGCTACTAATTTCCTCAGTCGCCTTTAATTGGGTCCTCGGACCGCCAGCAGGATTACGACAATCTCCGGTGCTCCGACCATCAAAGGCGGCTGACCACACACAATGTCTGCGATACGAGAATACCCCTCAATTACAGTTCCTGTAGGAGCCGGCCTCGGTTCCTGCTCGTTTTACGGGTTACAACGTATGCACACCACAGAAATTAACTGTAAGCATTTAAACGAGAAACGTACATACCTACCTAAATCCCGTATAGGGAGTTACGCATACCAGACGTATACATACAATAGATTAATATTTCGTTACAATCGCTATTTACCAAACTGTAATCCAATCGGCCGTCAGATGGCATCCGGATCACCGGAATTGATTACCCTATCTAACTTGGTTTATGACTTTGGTGTATTGGGATCGAATAACTACTTCAGATGCAGAAAATCAAACAATCTCCTAATTAAAGATTCTAATTTCAGTCTTAATTTAAAATTGTAACGAATAAAATTTAAATTTAAATTACGATTTACTTGTTTTGCCGCTACATGAGTTGCTAATTATCCGAAGGGGGAAAGCATGTAAGTGCTTAAATTGCGGTAGCTATCAACGTATAAGATAATGCAGACGTATTGTCTCTCATAAAACATCCCTAATTGCAGAAACGGCGTATAACTTACGACCATTGAATCACGTGAATGTTCACACGAGATGACGCATAATACACCGAAGTACCCTGTTCATTATTTTCTACTCGTATTCCCTATTCAGAAACAAGGAAAAATTTTTTTAAATGAAATTCGATATACCAAAACTAAATTTATATACATTTTTTAAAAGTATAAAAGAACGAAAAAATATGACACGGATAGATTACGGTTATGCCCTTTTAGTAGAGATTACTTTTGAACTGGAAGCCGGAAAAAAATATAATAACCCTTTTTTATCTGAGTCATAAATCATCTAAGAAACTGAAACAATCGTGTTATTGTAACACCTACGAACACTTTCAAAACGTTTTACCACTAATTAATCAACGTTAAAGAACATTAATTCCAATTATGAAAGAAAACTTATGAAACATTAAAATGTTATGTTCGTCTTGATGATGTGTATAATTTACTATCCGATTTATTTTCGCTTCCTATGTCGCATTTTCTGATTTTTCGCAAATACATTCCTACATTTGTATGTAGAGAGTGTTCATGTTTCGTTCAAAAATTCGGCAATTCCGAGAATTCACAAGCGCAATGCGCCAAACGTGTCTATATTAATCGTAAAATGTGGCGTAAAGAGAAGGTCGAGCCAGAAAGCTTCAATAGAATCCCAAATGTACTACTACCTTGAAAACCGTCATTTGTGACACATTTTGTAGGAAGCATACTTCAAATAATTCTGAAACTGATCCTTTCCACAAATTTTTCGAATGGTACTTCTTAGTTCTCTAGTTTGAACTAGTGAAGAACTGATAATAGTAATTTAGTAGTAAAATTAAAATTTTTTAATGTTTAAAAATTGCGATAATAATTTTGGAGTCGAACAATATTTTTATATAATATTCATAAAGTTAAAAAGTTTCCGCAGGTAGTTTAATCCATTAAAATGCTTTTAGCGGTTTGTCCCGTTACACATTTCGTTCGATCGGAATATGAAAGGAAAATGAAATTGGAGTCTCTACCATAGATGATGATAGTTGTTCAGATTATAAATTCGAAATAGGATTCCCTCGAAAGTGGTACTTATAACTTGTCCATATTTCCATAATTTAAAATTGATGATTCTGATAACGTATTCCGAGCACACCTCATTTATTCAACTGGACATTTCCCAAAATGTATCCAGGTGACACGTAGTCAGCAAATCTCATTCAGAAGAGGTATTTTAGTGCCATTTCTACAGATATTCAATCACAGTTTACATTATTTAGTTTGTTAATTAATTTTTAAGTTAATAACTCAAAAACCAAATCAGGAGAGCGTTGTTTATTAAAAAAAATACCTTTATTGATATTTAGAGATAGTACAATGCTTTCCCGTTAAATCGATTTTTCACGGTTTGTAAAATTTCAAAGAATTTCCAATATATGTAATTATCTATATTAATTAAACTTCACTCTATGTCGCCATATTCAACGGATAAAAAAAATAAAATTGAATATGAACGGCCATCATTACGAGTATTTTTGGATAAACTCGGTTTATTGATCGCAATCAACTCTCCCTAAATTGCTTTTCCAAAAATAAATGTCATTATTGCCTGGTTTCATTCACTAACCTCTGATGAATTGTCTTCCATGATGAGTCACTGTTTTATTGTGTGAATTAATACTTTATATTACATATATAGCAGTAAATGCTTAAACTATAGTAATGTATTTAAAAAAAAAATTATTCCCTATAAGATCGAAGTCATTACAGTCTTTAGTCCCATATTAGATAAAATTCTGCCTGAATTAAATTAAATATATTTGCTCATATTTGCTTTAACATTGTACTCAACGATGAGATGTTTCAATCAATTGTGAAGATAAATTGTGAAAAATGCATTGAGGGTATTCGAGAGGAAGTTGCTACAAACTGCGATGGAAGAGAAAAATATAATTCATATGGTGAAGGCGCGGCTAATAGAATGGTTGGGGCACGTGATGAGTACAAATGGAAGAAGTGCCCAAAAAAGGATCTTTGGTGCAGTAGAAATAGAACAAGCCCTAGAATGTGCTGGAAAGCTGATGTATGACAGGACCTGAAAAAGATGTGAGGAGAGGAAGAGGCTAATATAAAAACTCACCCCGGGATGTAATGCCAAAAGATAAGCATAAGGAGAATAAATTGTGTTCAGTTCTAGCCTAAATTACTTTTCGTAATAATATTAAGATTTGATTTTGACTCGTTGATCTAGAAGTAAATTAATTTTACTTTACTTAAAGTACTTTGAAGGTCTTAAGTAACCTAAGTAATATTTTTAATATCTGTGTCCAAATATCATAAATATAGACCTAAGTGGGACACATCAATAATCAGCTTTTTAAAAATTAATAGTACTCTATATTTAGAAATATCAATATTGCTTTTCGTTTATTTTTACGTCATAAGCAAATATATAACTTTCACCCCAATTTTCAACCCCTATAACTATAGATAAACCTTTGCCACACCCCTTCTTAGATGTTTTAAAACTTGGTAAGGTGCTTTAACTTCTCGACTCCTCCATAAAACTGTCGCCGAAGGAAAAATAGATCCAAAATTTGTAACTTAAAAGATGTGCCGTGACACATCGTAAATTTCTTTGAAAATAATTTCTTGAACATTCTGCTAACGCAAAACAATCTTGACAACGTTGTATGTTTTTATGTGAATTCGGTGTTCTGAGTAAATTTTGCATTCAATAGGTTTAATTATAATCTACAGTTGCATAAGTACAAAACAGTTTTGCCTTTTAGCACTAAATGAAGCAATTATCATTTGCCGTTAATACCCCATAGTTTAGCATCCACTTGGCTCTATTTTCATTTTTTCCTAATCTACCAGAGGATTTGCTGTAACACGGTTTACTCGAATGGTGCCTGTGCCTCTCAAATTATTGTCCTTAAATTATTGAATAGATATTGCATCTTTTATGGTTGTCTTTTTCATCAGCTTGACCTTTCAGCCTCCTCCGTCCATTTATAACTTTTCCTATTTCTGGTATTTTTTTCTACTCTTACTTTCTTTGATAAAAAAGAAATTTCGTCGCCCGAAGAAAAATCGTTACCACTCGTTTGGGTTGGATATTGGTCCTTATTTTTTCGTGAATTTATTTCTGGTAGACCTTGAAGTGCTTCTGGTGTGCATTTAGACTTGTGAAATCCAACTCTCTAGACATTTAATCGATATGATCTCCGCAAGTATTCTCTAGAGCAAAAATGATTTTCTACCATTTAACGATTAACCTCTAGAACCATAAAGATACTCGATTGCTCACCGTTCTATATGTGGAACACATAATAAAATCGGGTTGAAACAACACTACAAAAGTTAATAAAACTATTTTGGATCAAATTTGTGTTTGAAAATGTATTTAGCAAATTCCAGAATATAGAAATATCTTTGACTACTAAATAGTGTAATAAAGATTTTTAAAAGTATTTAAAAAAAAATAATGCATTTATACTGAATAAATAGCGTTTGCAAAAACAAATTCACAATTGTTGGTCGAATTAGGTTGTCAGGCGTGGAGCAATTTACGATAAAAAATGGTTACCAATTTATCTCCTACGTTTTCTGCCTGTTCATTACGAACCGGACAGGTTAATTGTACCTAATTGGCAATATCGAAATTTGCTATAAATGTAGCCAATAAACGTTGCCACTGTAACAGCAAATCTTATTACATCAACTTAAACATTAAATAATTTCCTATTAATATGTATTTTAGACTTTATTTTCTTAAAAATGAGTAATTGGTTACTGATTTCCTGAAAACATTTTATCTCGTAATTAAACATAAAAGATATCAATATTTTACGGAAAAATCAATATTTATAAGTATTGCATAATTCGACCAAGTTTTTGTCAGAACTTGAATATTGAATATAATAGTAAGAAGGCAATATATTAATCACTTTTAAAAGCCAGCCACCAGCTTTTAATTGGGCATTAAACCCTCGGTACGCGCTTTCGGCTGCAAACTCAATACCGACTTCCAGTCATTTATTTTCCAAAGTTGACACGTGCTATAACTCACGACTTGGTTCGCTCCCCATTATTGGACTACGATCTCGTAGAATAAAAAAGAAACGAATGGCTTTGACATATCTTCGTATTTAGTTTCGATCATTTTAACGAAAAGTTTTGTTCTACTAGAAAGTAAAAAATAATATATAGATTTTTAAAATTATTTTGTTTTTAGAAATGATCAGGAATGCAGGAAGACAACAATTTCAATGTGACAGGCACCGAAGACGCGTCCAAACACATCGAGGACATCGCATTGGCTATTTTATTGGCCGTAGTAATCATCATCACCCTTATCGGCAATACCCTTGTTATCATCGCGGTTTTAACTACGAGAAGATTAAGAACTGTTACAAATTGCTTTGTGATGTCAGTGGCAATTGCAGATTGGTTGGTTGGGATAACCGTGATGCCGCCGGCGATAGTATACCGAATTAGACGTAAGTTTTATTTTGTGAAAATGAAATTTAATTGCTTATCTATCCTGCTACACGTTCTGGAACTAGATCTTTAAGGATTTCTTGCTGACTATCAGATTCGCGGAGCACTTTACGTATTGGAAACTAGATGAGTAACTCAAAACCGTGTTCGAAAGGATTTATATTGCGTCGTCGAAGAACGTGACTAGTAACTACCACAGCGCATTACACCAACAGTTTTTCTTTTCCGAACGATAAATGCATTAATGGAAAAATATTATTTATGTATATTTATGCAGATTACTTTTTCAATATTTTTCACTATTTGAATCAAAATAATTTTTTAATTGAAAGATTTAAAAAAAATCATCATTCGAATTATATTTAAGGTTCATTATAGACGACGTCCTCAGCTTCTTTTGATGTTCGTCTATTTCAGCGCTGCTCGTTAATCCACCCTGGTGACTTTTTAATGCTTTCGTGAAAAATCCGCGTTCGTTCTCATTAGTGGAACCATCTTGCGCAGACCATGGTTTCCGGTGCATTTTGACCAGATGTGCCTGATTTTAGGTTGGCTTTCACGAACGTGAAATCGTTATAGCCTTCTATTTCGTACAATGCGGTCTCCTTCGGCAGAATCGCTCCAGTAACATTAATAGTGATGTAACTAGTAACTATAACAGTTAACGTTATAGAAATTGCTTTACAAAATATTATAACTTTGTGCATTCAACAAACATTTTATAATTATTATTATTATATTATAAGGATTATTATAAAAATGAAATTTTATAAATTTTAATTAATTTATTATGTGTTTATTATGTGTTAGGTAAATGGGAAATGGGTTGGATTTTGTGTGACATATGGATATCGTTGGATATTCTCTTGTGTACAGCATCAATCCTGAGTTTATGTGCCATAAGCATAGATCGCTACTTGGCGGTGACCCAACCTCTTAGTTACTCCAGAAAGAGACGATCGAAACGACTCGCTTTTAGCATGATTTTGGTGGTCTGGGTTATATCCGCTTTAATCACATGTCCTCCGATGTTTGGTTGGTAAGTACAAAGAGTTTTGGAAATAATAAAACAAAAAACACTCTTCGAGCAGAACAAAGTCATGTATCTAATTGACCATTATATAACGTGACTTGAATACATTACTGCGTTATGCGAACTTTGAGATCGTCGAGTGTTGCAACAAAAATAGTACTTAATAATCATTAATTGTTTATTAATCAATACTTAATATAATGTTATTATAGGTACGAACCAGGACGCCATAATGACTTCAAATGCACCTACAACGCTAACGCCGGTTATGTCGTCTTCTCTGCGATGTTCTCGTTTTTCATTCCAATGACCATTATGCTTTACGTGTACGTGCGAATCTCGTGCATTGTCGCTCAGAGGCATGACCAATTATCACACATCAATAGCAGAGTAAAGGTACGCTTAATAGTCGTATGAATTTAACTCATTGAAATAACACGTTTCAGAAAGGTCAGAAGCTGGTGTTGAACGCGAAGGATGAATCGGAATTGGACCGGATGTCCTCGGACTGCGACGAACACAATGTTAATATCAAGTGCACCAGGTACATTAGCCAGCTTAGTGCACGGTAATAAATGTTATATTTAGTTAAACGCTTTTTTATTTAAGCTTTTTTAAGATGTATTTTTAAAATCAAAAATAACGTATTTTTCTTAACATATTTTATAGTATCACAGCGGGAGATCCAATAAACCAAAATAATCACAATGAAGTTCGCAAAAATGGGCAGCAACAATCCCGCTCTCTAAGATCGACTTTAAATTACACGTTCACGCCTGAACCAGCAACTCCGCAAAGGGCTGCAAGCTTTTACACCCCTACAACGCCGTTACCAGCGAATAGATCGCGACCGGAATCTCTACAATTAGATGTATCCATTCTAAACTTTGAGCCGGCTACCAGAGTTTCTTCCTTCCGTAGGGAAACAAAAACAGCACAAACCCTAAGCATTGTTGTAGGAGGATTTATAGCATGTTGGCTTCCGTTTTTCATCTACTACGTGTTGATGCCGATTTTACCAAAAGAAGCCCAAAACAACGTAGTTATGGGCTATTTCACGTTTTTGGGTTGGATCAATTCCGCCATTAACCCGTTCATATATGCGTTTTATAGCCCGGATTTCCGAATAGCTTTTTGGAGACTTACGTGCCGGCATTGTTCAAAATCCCGCAGGACAAACGCTTTCCAGCACAGATAAACAAGCTCGACGTGATCGATGATTACTCGTCATCTCTCTCTTTATCTCTTTTTTCATTTTGTTGTCTTCGTTTAGTTTTATATTTTCTATTTGCCATTACTGTCTAGTGCGTACGTATTTATCAAATATTTATGAAATTCTAGTCAATGTGTGTTGTAAGTAGCTCTTAAAATTGTACTGTTACAAAACTGAAAGACACAACCAAATACGTATTATCTAAGAAATACATAGGTAGCATAAATATAATTGAGTTTTATTTAATTTATCAACCCTTTTACACTCAAATAAAAGAAATTTTTTTTTCATATGAAGCATTTAAAGAGAAAATATGTTTTATTCGAGATGGAAGTTAATCTCTGTGAATGTTTCAGCATCACTATGGAATAATCCTAATAATATCCTATGAAATGATAGCTTTTACTATTTCAAAGTTAGTCTTCTTTTCTGTAATAATATAACCTAAAACAACCAGGTGATGACATAGCTTGTCGAATGCAGACCAATAAGTGATGAAGATGTAAGAAAAAACTATTTGAAGACTCAACACAAAGTAGTACATGCATTCATGAAAGCAGAAGAAGGAAAAAGGACAACGATATGGATCTAAGAATTTGACGCAAGAGCGGAACAAGGGAGACAAAGAAAGAAGTTAGAAGCCAAATACACAACTGCAGAATTTATGGAATGTTAATTAAATGAATAAATGTTATTTCTACTGAAGGAAAAGTAAAGTTGCTAAAACAATGGGCAATGTAAAAGTCTAAGAATCTGACATAGAAGAATTAAATTACTGTAACATTTAGTCTAATGTTTAAGTACACGTAAATTTAAAAGTATAGTTAAGACAATAAAAGACACTGTCTCCAACATACCTCATCCCCTGCTCATGTAAAAAAATAATTTCTTTACAAAGGCTTGGATAACCTGTAAGACAGAGTCTCCATTGTCAAGCTTTCAGCGCTTTCACTACAACTTTTCTCTTACAAACCATCCGCTACACGCTTAGGATCTACCCTTCCTGCCTCAGCAACATTTTCTTTTTTTCGTTTGTTTTATTTGGACAAATAAGTCCCAGAGTATTTATATTTACATATGCGAAGTAACCACAATTGTAAATGGTCACTTTACATTCCGTAAATCTGTTTAAATATCTATTTTGCAAGCACTTACTTTTTTATTAATATTCGGTGTTTATCAATGAGACAGTTTCTAACACGTTATGGCCTATCCAGAGAGAAGCGAAGTAAACGACGTTTCCAGATTGTTTCCAAGATTGAACCAATCTTGACCATAAATATATCCACCTCTAACTTAGGATTTTTTTATTCTTCTGAACATGAGCCATCATAAAACCAAGCTAAACTTTATTGAAGTTCCGTAAGAAAGATATCCATTTATCACTGTATCCTAGAATTATTATGCAGGTTATGATAACAACCCTAAACCGTCTCATTCGGAGTGACAATTTAAAACTTTAAACATTTTTTAAAATCATATTTAAAGTTCTTAACATGGGAAATAATCTAAATTTCTAAATGATAAATTAAAATAGTGTTTTAGTTGATATTTATTAAGATATTTTGCTTATTCTTTTAAATAACTAAATATTATTCAATGAATATTTCCCATATACATAATGATAAATACTAATTTAATTTTACAAATAATATGTTATAAATTTAATATATTTAAATTAGTATTTTTAAGAAGATTATATTTAGTAATTTTAATTGATTTTTTAATAGTAGTTGATTCATCCATAGCGGAAACTTTTAAAAGGCCATTAATATCCTTCTTGAATGTAACAGTCAGTTTTAATTTGCCTTTTCTAATATCTTTTAAACCATCGAAAACAAACTCTCCAATCATTATATTTTTATCGGCCAATTCATTATTTCCTTCAAAAATCAATATAGAAACATATTTTTGGAAGTCGGAGTTTAATGTGTAAGTCCGAGCAACAGATACTGGAAGCTTTGTGGCACGTGGTATCACGACGGACATTTTCCCACCTTTCACTGCAATACCAAGATCCATTGCAGTTACATCTCTTATAATAATGTCAGTGATAGATGAATCATCAGAACCTGTCAGAATTGCAGCTTGTATGGCAGCTCCTGTTGCAACTGCTTCTTCATTACTGATGCTAGTGCAAAGCTGTTTGCCGTCAAAGAATCCTCGTATCATATTTTGCATTTTAGGAATAAGTGAAGAACCTCCCACTAATATTACATCATCGATTTCCGATTTATCAACTCCAGCGTCTGTCAAGGCTTTCATCATGACTTTCATGGCTTGTTGAAATATCTCCGCGCAGAGATTTTCGAATTTTACTCTTCCCAATTTGTGGTTAAAGTCGTCTTTATTTGAAAGAATAGACTCCAATTGCACGGACGTTTCCGTACAAAACGTTAAATCAATTTTTGCGGCTTCGCACTGAACTTTTAAACGTCGCATAATTTTGGGTTCATTCGAAATGTCTACATCATATTTGCTTTTAATCATTTCAACAAAATACTGGAGAATCGTGTTATCAAAATCTTCACCACCTAAGTACATGTCTCCTGTTGTAGATTTTACTTCGTACGTATCACCACAGATGTTTAAAATAGTCACATCCAAAGTGCCTCCCCCAAAATCAAAAACCAAAGCTAATCTATTTTCCATAATTTTCTTCTTGTGTCCGTATGCTAGAGCAGCAGCAGTAGGTTCGTTTATAATTTTTAAAACCTATAAATAAATTGAAAAATTAGCTCTTAATAAACGTAGTGTATTTTTGATTCACCTCTAATCCGGCTAATTCAGCAGCCTTCATCGTAGCTTCTCGATGTGCATCGGTAAAATATGCTGGAACGGTTATAACAGCTTGATGAACAGCCGATTGAAGATATTCTTCAGCCACCTTCTTTAATTCTCGTAACAAGAACCCACTTATTTTTTCTGGATTAAAGGATTCAGTTTTTCCATCATTTGTGATTACTATTAGAGGTCGCTCTTCTTCATCTGATATTACATTAAATTGCCATATATTCTTGTTAGTCTGAACTTCCTTTTCCTGATATCTTCGTCCTATTAATCGTTTTACACCTAGAAAATAAAAGAAAAATGTATGGTATTGGTTGCTTAAAGTGCAATATTTTCGGTGTAACTAGAAATGATATACCTATGAATAGGTGTATTTAATTTTTCTGAATCTCTTACCGTAAACTGTGTTTCTTGGATTGTCCCTAGCGTGTCTCCGAGCTGCTTCCCCAACAAGAATGTCACCATTTCGAAATGCGACATAAGATGGTGTTGTATTATTTCCATTATTAGGTATTATCTCCACTTTTCCATTTCTATATACACCTACACAACAGTATGTAGTTCCCAAGTCGATTCCAATAACGTAAGATTTTTTTCCGGTCCGATTCATATTAATTTGTTCTATTTAACCTGCTTGACTATTCAATCTGTATTGATTTGTTCGATTAGATTTCATTTATATATGTTTATGAGCTGGGCTAAAACAGTTTTTATTAATTTATCTTATCTACTAAAACTTAAACAAACTGCATTATTCTATGAAATACCTAATAAAATTAATATATACCTAATTCTAATTCGAAGCGTTTCTATTAATTTATTTTTTATTCGTAATGATATAACACATAAATAAAACATAAAATAAAAACAAATAATAAAAACTTTATTTCAGAATATTACAAAAAACCATGCCCAGCAACGGCGGCGGGTATAAACCCTTCGGCACCCTCTTTGTTCTTAACCCAAAACCACCCTTCCACATGAGTACTAATCAACACCACAACGTCACCCTTCACCACATTCAACGTATTGTTCCTACCGCCCTCGTAGTCACAACAAATAATTAATAAAGTTTGTCGCGTTCCCCCTTTATTTCTTGCAGATGCCGCCGCCCGTAAATAAAGTCTATCAACACTTCTTTCGCCACATGTACTTGTTGCATTTCTTGACCGCCTACTTCTGCATCTTCCACCACTACACTCCGATCGAGAACTAAGCTTTTCCGTGTCCGTCATGTTACCGGATGGTTTTGGAAATACATCTGTGCTATTTTCCCAACAGGGTGATAAAGAATTTTCAGGTGGTGGAATAATTCCTAGAAAAACAATTTTAAGTTAAACAGTTAAATATCGACATAACTTTATACGTATGTCAATTAGGGTTACTTGGACGACTTTAACCGACCATATTTTCATTCATACACGTAACGAACGGCAATCGCATGATTTGCGAGACTCACCTAAAGGTAAACAAGCGGCATAGCTGACATATCCTTCCTCGGCGTGCGGAGTTTGCACGTAAAGCCAATGTTGGTTCTTGAAGACCGCGTTCACAACCATTCCTAAAGGAAGGGATATCTCCGCTTGGTATCCGCCAACTCTGGTCTGGTATAATACACTTGGGGATGCGAGAACAACTGGAATGTTAGCTGGCTTATCGATACTTGCCTAAGAATAATAAAAATTGGAAATAATTATTTAAACACCTACAATTTTATATTTAACCGATATCTTAACGATCTTATAAAATGTTAACGATAGAACGAAACTGTATAATTATCAGCTTTAAATGACGTAACAACTATTACATCGTGTTCGTGAGGATCTTGCGGAAAAGATTCCAACTCTTCGATAGTAATCTTCTCAACATTATATCGGTTACTCTTAGGATAAAATCGATTCAAATTAACTTGAGCAATTGATCGATAATGGATCCCTCATTTAGGTGCTGAAATAGCCAATAAATTTCAGATGGACGTTAAAATAGCCAATAATTCGGCGAAAAAATCGAATCAGTCTTGGGAAAAACGTACCGTATTGGTCTTTTAAGGCGGTCTTCAAGCGATTGATGTACTTTGGCCGCTCGGACACCTATAATTACAGTTCTACGAGAGCCGCATGCATAAAACGCACTGAGAAAGGTCGCATCTTTTATGTGTGTGTGTAAATATCTGTTTGTGTGAGTAAATATCTGATTTTGTGTGAAGAAACACGTCTGTGTGTGTGTGGGAACCGTTTTCGGGCAGGCTAACCACCCACTTATGGGTAATTTTCTTGAAGAATTAACGTCGTCAATTCAACGATCGACGAAAAGTACTTTACCGATACAGTACAGGGTGATGCTATCTTTGTAAAGAGAATTAAATTTTTTAATCAAAATTTTAAATTTTGAAATATAGAACAAAAGTATGATATAAAATACTTTAATAAAAAGTAAAGTATGCATAGAAATTCTTAAGGGAGTCTTAATTGTCCCAGTTACATTTATGCAATGTTTCAAAATGAAGATTAAAAGTTACATGATTGATATGGACTGAGTTGGTATTGATACAATATTTGCTCTAGTTTGGCTTGTAACAATATTGCTTTTCTGGCAAGTTCCCGATTAATGCCACTATACCGTTTCAAATTTGGTTATTTATAGGCGAAAAAGATATTCTATGGACTATTGTTTGTTCAAATTTTGATCACATTGGTTGATTACAAATTCCTGACAATTTGGATTTTTGAGCAAATTTTGCTGCTAAATATTGCAAGAATTATCTACCAGAGAAGGTTGTCAAAAAGAGAATTGAATTAACATAAAAAATTTTAACCAAAACACCCTTAGCTATCCCCATAAATAAAGTTTTAGCTTCTAAATGTAGAGGTGTATATTCTAAACTAAACCACATATAATAGGAATGAACCAACTAACTCAATTAGAATTATGGGCAAAAAGAAAGAGTATTTGTTTAATGAAGAAAAACGGCTTTAGTGCTTAGTATAGAAGAAGAGTACCAAAAGAAAGTGAAGTGTAGAACAAAATTATAGAATAAAGCTGTTTTGGATTACAATACATAATTCATATATTAATAACATATCAGATATATCCACATTATCTGTATATCCATCTCCTCTCCTCCGCCCTCTCCCCCAACACCTGCCTGCAATCCATGACTTCCTCCCTCAACTCATCGCAGTCCACCGGATGGTCACAGATGGTTTAAAGACTCCTCAGCCCTCCCCAAACAGTCTACACCCCCTCTCCTCAACCTTCATTCAATATCTATTAGCACTTTCTTCGTTACTACACCTAAATCTAGCCACCAACCTCTAGCAACTTGTTGGAGAAAACTGAAGACGAAAATATCTTAAATGGGTCTGGCGAGTTAATGGGCCAACATTTCCAACACACCTTATACCAAACTGTTCAAAGCACAATGCGACGTATTTGGGTATATCATCCAAACAACCTTCGAATTCTGTCAAAAGAAAATTGGCATATCGTTCAGCATCCTTAAAAAATAAGGTCCTACTATATGTACCACTATATCCACTGGGGGCAATAAATACATAAATGACAAAACATCATCGACTAAATACTTTGCAGTTAAACGAGACTTATTTCACTGTCGTGGATAACAAAATAAAGGTGGTACAAAGATGGTACAAAGCATGGTTATGTGTGAATGTTTGCGGCGATTGCTGAATAAAGACGTCATAAAGACTTTTCTCGTTGTCTGTGAGATTTAAGATTTTCTGTTCCATTGCAGTATACAATCTAAGTGCCATCAAACTAATAAAGAATCCTGATTTTCATAAGCACAGAGACATTCATATAGTTTTATAAAAGAAAAGTAGGAAGAAGGTGTTCTGGTCAACATGTATGACTCAACATGTTGTGTGACATCAAAGTAATAAAGAATCCTGTTTTTCATAAGCACAGAGCCAGAAGTAGGAAGAAGATGTGCAGCAAAATCGAGACGAATACAAGTGTTCAAAAGCTTAGCAAATTAACTTCTGACAAATTGTACCCCTATTGTAAACATATGGGTCAAGACCAGATAAATTATTTCAGAAATCATGGACATGTGCCTTCATCTTCACTGATTCAAAAACAGATTTGTTGTCAAAAACAAAGAATAGATTGGAATTAAAAACTGTTTATCATTAGCATGATATGGCCGTTTTTGTACAGGTGCCGTACAAAAACGCAAAATTCATTTCGAATCTGAATTTTGAAATAATATATTGACAAATAAACTGATTAATCAACATCATGTGGCTTATCTGGCTGAATTCATTAAAAAAAAAAAAATAAATATTAGTAATCGCCAAGTTGATAAACGATTAGTGTTATCAATTTCACCACTTTATTTAAATAATTCTTATTTAAAATAGAAAATCGTTTATGCAATATAAAAAAAAACTTTAAACTTATTATTATCACTCTCGACAATTTAATTGCGGGTGAGATGATGGGATAATGACTAGGTTTATGAATCAGTTACTCACACCTGTGCATTAGCTGCGGGGCCTTACCATTTTCAACAATAAGGAAACTCGGCCTTTTATGATAAACGGTCATCGGTTCGTCGAGCCATGAACGAAAGAGGATTTACGAGGTCGTGCCGATGAAGCACCATTTTGGGATTTATTGCATTCCGCGTATTTTCTCATCAATAATGCCGAGACAACTGTGAACGTTTCGTGAATGGGTCCTTTCAAGAATATGAACGTGGTCGGAAAATAGGTTTGGGATTTATAAATGGTATAAAAGAATTCATCTTACCTTAGCTAAAAACTCATCCACATCATCTATCTCATAACCAAACTGTTGTATCTCGTTAGTTCTTCCATATTTACTTCTAGAAGAACTTTTTCTTCTATGCTTGTGCTTTTCTCTCTTTTCCGCTGCTAAGTTAGGTTCTGATTTGGTTCTCAATGGAGCATTTTGAGTTTTTAGTATTTTGCACTGTACATCGGTAACGTTTGTATTCTTAATAGAATTGGAGTTAATTTTATTATTATTAATGTTGTTGTTTATGCTATTATTTACACTTGTTATTGTTTTTAAGTTTCTTCCTTTCAATGGTGCTTCTGTATTTAGCGCGTTTTCTTTACCGGTATTATTTGGGGACTTTCTATTTGTTTTGTATTGGCTTTTAATCGAAGCTGTGGTATTTTGTTGATGATGATGATGGTTTTGAGATCTTAAAGTCCATGAAAGTGGCAGACGTCTGTTGGCATTTCCCAATTGTGAAGGCTTTTGTCCCATCGGGATAAATCAATAATTACTTTATTGATCACATTTCGTTGGCTTTCATGAATAATATTCTAGCAGCGAATTTATAATTCTATCTGAAAATAAAAATAAATAAAAATAAATTGATAAACCGGAGATAACTTTATTATGCCATCATGTTTATTCAACAATTTTCTTACGAAATAGGAACGCAAGCAACCAAAACAACGAAAAGGAAGGAAGGATTTCCTTTTTGATTAATTTATCGAATGACGACAACTTTACAAATTGCGTGCAATTACTGGTTACCGATTATAAACACAAGGTTCTGCTTTAAACCGCTACTCCAAACGTGTAGTTGTGAACGGTTTTCTTTTTGTTATATCTTTTTTTCTTAACGTCATTAAAGGTAATTCATTTATGATATGGAAATAAATTCTCTATAGTGAATGTATTAAAATATTATAAATGATTTAAATACAATTATTGTATTATGTTACTATCTATATTTATTAAAGCCTTATTAATAAAAATAAGGGTATTTATCTATATAATTTAATTGCTATCTTTAACTCAATCATAAGGTTTAATTTTTATAACTTCCTTGTGTATCATAAAACGGAGCAAAGTTTTACGGAAGTTTTCCATAAAATAAAAAATACTTTCTAATTTGAAAATACCATTAGGTTCTTCATATTCTATTTCAAATTAATGGAGAGTCATTAACGACATTCCAATAAACCTCCGAATTCTATCTTTCGGATCAATGGGAGATTGCGTTCTGGCTTAATTAATTTGTTTGATAGATACCGTCAATTAGTCGATTACAGCTCGATAACATACACTTCTTCGATTCTCTACGTTCCATTGCATTAAGTTAATTAAACCGTTCGAAATTCAAAATAGTACTAGCGTCTCAAACGAGCGTTACCCAATCTTCGAGATAAAGTAAGTAATTTTAAACATAAACTTCAACTTAAAACTGCTTTTGTGAAAGTACCTAATAGATAATTGATGATAATTTATTTTGAAAACTTCCCGTTATGTTAATCAGTTCTTAAACATTTTTAATAAAATTGTTAGAAAAAAAACTTTACTTATTCTGTTAGATTCCTGTTTATAATTTTAAATTGGTGCCGAGAACAAGATAGTAAAAACACCTATATACTGCCATTGTACTTATTTGTACAAACTAGTTACGTCTGGGATTTAACCTTGTCTATTTGAGTAGGATAGTCATGATTTTTCCTTTTTTTTTGTAGTACTTTATTCTTGATTAGGAAACTTATATCTGATCAGAAAAAACAGTTTTACGACAAAAAACAAACACTAATTATATTCAACCATTAGCATTTCAACATTTCCAGTAACACTTTTACTTTTTTTTTTAAAGATTTTATCTTAGAGATATTTTTTTCTACTTCTATCAATCGTTTTAAAATCACCAATAAACGTTTCGAAACGCATTGTCGTAACAATAATACACCAAGTTCCCTGCCTTAAGACTTAAACCTGTTAAACGATTTGGAGTGCACGCCGGTATCCATTTAAGAACCCCGTTCGCGTAACGTGGGACGCGCGCTATTCTACTGCCTTTAAATGTGAATTATTCACCCCCCAGAATGAAATACGAATCTCCTCAAAGACGGCGCAGACGGCGAGCTGCGCCTTTTTTTGCGCGACCTCCGCTGATTCCAGAGAAGAAGATACTCTTACGGGAAGTACACGAGACGAGAATTTAAACTATTCTTGTAGTACGTCTATTGTCGACGCGAATCCTATAATTTACGCCACGGTGAATTTCAAATGAGCACGTAGCGTTACTGAGGTCCCACCGGTGTCAGGTGGATATTTATAAACACGTGCGGAAAAAACGAAGTGTGCTACCTACACTATACATCTCTTTTTCTTCGATAAACAAAAATCTGAAAAAGTAATTAACTATTTATATTCCACTTTGTCAACAAGACCGTAAAGTATATAATATATACTATACTATAATAGTAGTTGATTGCAAATAAAACAAAATTGAATCCTTTTTTTTATTTGAATATGACTCGTGTTTCAGCAGATGCAAATTTTGTGCCACAAAGAAACGTTTATGGAAATTTATGAAAAGTGATATGGAACAAAGAACAAGTAGCGTGCATTTGTACGTCACGCTAAATTCACGTTGTTGACTCAACTGTGTAAAACGAGGCTTTTAAAATAAAAAAGAAGATAGTGATAGATTAGTGAAGATAATCTGTGAATTATTAAAAAAAGATAAACATTTTGAACTTTGAACTTGAAATCCGGTTTCAATTTACTATAAGCAATCCGTTTGGCAGTCTTGACATGTTTATTGAGACGCAATAATTATTTGAGTGTGAAGTATATTTCAGGATGAGGATTATGTTCCATAAAGAAAGGTTTATGAAGATTTATTGAAAATGATACAGTGGAAGGAACAAGCAGCATGGAAATTTAAACAGATATTCTGAACACGTTGAATATGTTTGGAAATAAATAAGTAGTTAACAAGGATCATATAATATGTAATGGTGCTAAACACCTATTCTCAGTACCGAACCTTAATATAGAAATGTTGCAAATTTGACATCTGAGAAGAAATTGTTTATGTTGATATTGGACCATTTTTCCAGTAACCAGATGTGAGCAAGGAGAATTTTGTCCAAAACCAAAAGGGAGGTAAAATGTCAAACTACGAGGATTTACGATTTCCTGATTGTCAAGCATTCTAAAATATGCAAAATACTCATTAAGATAAGACACCTGGATTAACGCCATTTAAAATCTCTTACAGATGCCTGATGCGATTCTTTTTCCTGTCAGATCTGTAAATGAAAAATTTTCCGAAGATTTATTCATTTTGGAATGAATAAGAAAGAAGGCTTAAATCTTTCTCATTTGGTATTTCCAATCATTCTGATATCACTTATACTAAGTCTAGATTAGAATCAGTTTCTGCCTTTTTTATTGGCTATACAATACAAGATTTATGATTAGATTGCATTAATGTTACTTTTTATAATCAAATACTTTGCTAATACCATATCTTGATAGCTATTTTGCGTCAACGAGATTCAATGATAAATTTCGGAAATTAGACAAGTAACCTTTTTGATCAATATTTTGCCCAATGGACGAAGATGGCTACTTTCACGTGCAGTTACACAAACGATGATACCAACTATGTTGATGATGAACCTCTTTGCAAGGAAAAACTCTTGAAATCAATTCAAGCTTAGATCTGCAACAAACGGCATCTCTTTTTTACGCATCTCTAACAAATGGTTTCTAATCTCCTCAATTTTCACAATGACGGGACTAATCTATACAGCGTGTCCCGTATCTTCCGCATCAGAGCATTATACGGTTGTAGGATACATTATTCTGAAGCGATCTTTCTAATAAATTTTTTTCGAAATGTTTATAATAACCGCACGGGAACTGTTTAAAGGAACTGTTTTTCGTCCAATCAGCAGATCGCAAATCAGACTCAGGTAATCGGTGCCACCCTCGGCCGGTCCGCTACGCCGATGATAACTCGTTTCCCACGTGTACTCACCAATAAATTCGTCATGGAAAGAGAAATAAACTTTTTCGATGAATCAAAGTTGTCCGTTATTGGTCGTCGTTAAACAGTTCCCGTGCGGTTATTATAAACATTTCGAAAAAATTTTATTAGAAAGATCGCTTCAGAATAATGTATTCTACAACCGTATAATGCTCTGATGCGGAAGATACGGGACACGCTGTATAGGTATTTACAGATGAGGGGATATACATAGTTTGACTTCAACCAAGGAATTATTACAAAGTTGAAACTAACGAAATTTTCAAAAGTGTTCCTTGCTAACTCGTCTTGACCTTGTTCAATGTAAACTTGCAACAGTTTTGATACACTTGTTCATATTTATTGATGGATGCAGGGAGATTTCTTGGTAAGAGAACCTGTTACCTTACATGTGAGTAAACTTTTGAAAGAGGAAGAACCAACTAATAACAACAAACTAGAATTAAAAGAGAAAATTGCTCTGAATTCTGAAATCATTCAATCATAAACTTGAGTTCTCAATTGATCTTGGATTTTCTAGCAATAACCAAAAATGTTCCCAAATCTTCTAGAATATATGTAAAAAAAAATTTGGTACAATAGTAATACCCCTTTGTTACTTCTATTCTTAAATTTGTTTTCTTACTTGTTTCTTATTAAGTTTTTGCTGCAATTGTGAGTAAATTGAAAGAACCATGCATGTTGCTAAATCCTATAAATCGTGTTATCTAAATTGTATTTTATTATAAACATCTATTAGAATTACTAAACATGTTCCTGGTAACAAATAATTCAAATGATTACGCAGATACAAGTAGGATCGTTTACGCAATACCTTTCCCAACCCATGCAACTGGTTCTTTAATTTAATACTTTATCTAATCTTGTTAGATACACGATATTCAATTTATTTTAAAACTTAATTACTTGAATCATGTCCACCTTGAGTTATTAATGATTTGGCACTATAGCTGTCTTTTACTATTAATGATATTTTGCTTGTATATATCGTTATTCATAGTTAACCTTTATTAACTTTATTATTAAAACATAAAATACTGTTCTCTAAAAGAAAATGTAATGAATCAGTGTACGTATAAAACATTTCTCAGCAATGATCGGAAATATCGTTATTGCAAATCAATAATTTTATGTTTATATTAAACGTAAAATATAATCCAAAAAAATAAGTCACAGTCTGTTAATTCCAAGCTCTTGAAATCTATGTAAATTAATATTCCAAGAGGTCACCACACTTTATAATGGTAGAAAAAAGAAAACATAAAGGAGCCATTAAAAGTACATATGCATAAAACCAAGGTGCACATTTAAAACATGAAAAAAACGCAAATTCCTGCAGTTATGGTCGTGCATACCTATAATTTACATATGGTTAAATAGAAATTAACGAAAAACTAGACCGTTATTGTATTTTTAGCATCTCTAATAAGCTATCATTCCCTTTCCACAATTAATACTCAAAACCCCAAAACGGTGTAATTATTTTACCATATTAATTAGAGATCATAACAGTAGAAACGGAAACAGAATGTTATCTCAAACTATTGAATCTCTCTGCAAATGTGTGTACACAATACGTAATAAGAGTGAATGAAATGTGAATGAAATGTAATGTGTTCGTTCAAAATAAGGTAAGGTTTAATCGTTCATTGTCTCAACTACCGTTGCGCAAACATAAATTGTAACGTAACACCCCAATATAACATACTCACGTAGTACACGACTTCGCGTAAGTCGGAATTGCGTAAACATTAAACTTAGCACAGTCTGCTGATGAAGAGATACCATTATAACGGAGTAACATAAATAGTGGATCACTGACAGATACTACGCGACCGTTTCTGGTCGTAAATTCCGCGATACTTTTAATCCTTCTCCAAGACACCATTCGGGATTATGGTGGTAAGAAGGTGCGTGTATAGGTATGCGTGGCGCATGGCGCTTGTATATCATACCGGATGTTACGTACATTAACGGGATTGTAAACAAATTTTATTCGATTAATTTAAGGAGGTATTAAGAAATTAAGATGCATTTAATTTTTAATGATATAATTATAAGCTTTTATATAATTTATATAATTAAAAGCATTATTTATTTTTGATTAAACATGAATAATTACGAGTATTTGATAAAATTATATTGCAAAAATCAATTTTAACTATATGTTAACCAATAAAATTTTTCAAAATCATGAAACAGTATTTTAGATTAATATTCTTTCTTACCTTTAACATCTCAATTAATTTTCTATCCCTTCCTAGGTAAATAAATAAAATTCGTTCGAATCAACCGGAAATGTCGATCACGTAACATACCCAGAAGTGGTAGATACGTCACGAGAAACGTTTACTCGCGTCACTCGCAACTCAACATAACTAAAATAGCTCGACTATCAACAACAACAACAACCGCGATGGGACACTAGAGCGGACTGAAGCAAACACACACACAAAGTGACTTGGACTACGACGAGAAGAGCTTTCAGCCGTCTCATGCGGCCTTTGGCGGAGGAGTCCCACGATGAGGAGCTCCGGTAACGCACGCAGCCGTGTGGCCGGTCGTTTTCGCAGAGCAATCGTTAATCATAAAGTCCCGGGGAGGAGCGTCGTTCTTCTTGTTCCACTTACCTATTAACTCGGTCTTCGTCCCTTACCTATAAGCCCTTCTCTTTTTCTTCGCTCTTTCGGGTTTTGTTTGTCCATATACGATCTTGGGATTATATTATACATGGGCAGCACGCGTCCCTTGTGGGTTTCAGAAAGGCGCATAAATTTGGTCCCCGAATGAGACAACTTAATTATTAGGTAAAGTACGTACGGAACGGTTGGCTTCGTGTAAGCGCGCTTTTAGGAGATTTGTGTAGATGGGATTTGAGAACTTTAAATTCCATACACGTAAAGCATACGTTTTTTTAATTCTACTTGTTAACTTGAGTTTGCTTCATTATCCATAGATGTTAAGTAAGATAAAAGTACCAAACGCCGAAGAAATAATTTTACATATATTTGGTATCTAAGATTAAAAAGAATCATTGTTTAGATTCCTAAACTCATTATAAAGCAAAAATAAAAAAAAAAAGAAATTCCACATCCAACCAATTTCATGCACCATTTAACGTATAAACAATTATAAACTCTTCTTATTACCTACTTTGTGGTCCATTTTCTCGATCAACGAACCGTAAAAAGAAGAATGGGGAAAAAATTACCACAAAATATGTATCCACGTTTAAAATTTTATTCTTTACTACCAAAATTTTTCTACTGTCATAGTGGCTTCTCTGATTCATTCGTTGGTAATACCACAAGCGCAGCTTTTCCAAGCGTGAAATCGTTGGAGAATTTAGCACCGTCGTTTTATTTACATTTTGATTGATTCCAGGTGTTCCAATCGCTTGGACCACACATAAACGGTATGTTACCAATAAAACCAGCCGCATTTATGATCATCGGAACATAAATTAGTCAGACGGAAAATTTACGCCCGCTTAAACTAAAGAGGCGTCTGTTTAAGGTGGGAAAATGATGTAAATTATCGTTACTAGTTTAACGATTACGGTAAAATATTCACTACGAAGAAATATCCACATCATATTTCCGGCATAAACATAACGAATAAATTCGGATTTTTACATCCTACATCATAAATTTTAATAAAGTCAATCACCAAATCACATTTTTATACAGTTACCTGCTTCTAAAAAGAATCCGTTAATAATTTCTGCATATCAAAGAATAATCTTAACAATGGGTTGGAACTTTTCCCCAACAACAACCACGCGTACAAGAGAATTTTCGATAAGATCCATCTCATTCTGTGCGAGCCATTCGTAGAAATCTCGCCTCCGAGCTTATTATGGGAAACGCGCCGGTGCTGGTGTCGAAAACGCTCATCCTCTCTTCGGCGTCGGTATCAAGATTGAAAAATATTGGGGAACTTGTGGGCGGTTCGCTTCCCCGAAAGCGGCGGCGTTATTCTTCTCCTTTCCCTCCGTCTCGCTTTCTTCGCTTTCAGGGGCCCTAGTGCGGCGCGTTTTCTACGGGGGCGGTCGTTTCGTTGTTGTTGGCGTCTTCTTCTTCGGCGTTGTTGGGACTTTTGGTGGCGTGCGTGCGATGGGCGTATCCGGTCGTGAGTACGACCGGACTGACCTCCGACCTTCCAACCGAAGACGGTGAGAACTGAGAACTCACAAGAAAAAATTTTTTCTTAAAAAAGTCTTTGTTCTTTTTTAAGGTAAGTATCACAACATTGATAAATGTGTCTAATGACGAAGACAAAACGTTTAAAACTAGACAAGTAATTGAGGCTTGTTTATTGCTTCGGGGGTGTTTGGACGTAAGCACGTCAGACGCATTGTAAATGATTACGCAGCGTGCGTAATTGATTGGTTGAACACAAGATAGTTTGGGTGAGACTTGAGGAGTGTATAGCCGAAGGAAACTGTTAAGTCGTACCTGCGCTCTACCTCAATAGATCTAACCGATAACATCGGTATTGAACGATTACGGCACACACCACGATTATTCGCATCCTGTTTTGTTAAACCTTTGGTATAAATGACTAGAGTGTTAATTTTTTTTCTTCTTCAAATATAATCCTGTTTCGATTTATTACTTCCTTCCCGGTAGTTTAGTTTCCTATAACTAAACTACCAGGAAATTATGTTTTTTTTAATTCCCGTATAATTCATTGCTAATTTCTGAGAATACATAACAAACAAGATTCTCGTAGATTTAATGTGATTTAACAAGACTTGAAAGAGTTGGTACTTATTGGAATCCCTGAAATGTAACGGAGATTTCCGCCCGAACGCTTTCAGAGATATTAACTTATAAAAAAAGGCCCTACGTTTCCAGTGTGGCGTTCGTTCGCTGATCGGAGTAAATTACAGAGGGGGTCACGGTTCTGGTGCGGTCGTGCTCGGCCGACGATAAAATTAAAGATTATTTCCTCCAAATTCCCGGCGCGTCTCGCCATAAATCTAAAATTAAAAACCTCGCCATTTCCTCCCACAACGAAGGGGGCAGCGTGCAATTTTCGAAAGGATGGACCCCTTGGGTCGTATCGCTGTCGTGCCAGCAGAATCACGTGTGTATAAGAACGAACCGCGAGCCCGATTCCTTGCAATATATCTCATAAAACAAAATTACTCTGTAATTTGATGTTATCTTTACAATGTGATCATGACCAAGATCCGATAATGTACAACGGCTTTTTTCGATGTGTAACGTTTAATATTGCGACACAAAAGAAACGAGAGTTAATGGAATGTATCTGTATGTTAACATCAATTATTAAAGTTTATGAAAAAAAGACTGTCTGTAAGACATCCACGTTCTTGCGATATCCGTTAATTTCAAATTACAAAAACAAATAATTTCTGCCAGCAAACGAACATTCTTCGAACCCTTTATCAACCGGTCTTATTAATTTTCCAATATTTCTCCACATTGATGAAGCTTAGAGCAAAAAGGTTACAGAGCAATGTGTAAAGGGTAAAATTTGCTACAACTTTTATTGTAAAAGTTTTTCTGTACCATGCTCGGAATTCCGTTTCTTTCCATTAACACTTGTGAAACTACGAATTATTCTAATTTTTATATTTTCGAATATATCTCTACATTGATGCATCTGAGAGCAAAAGTGTTACAAAGCAATGTGTAAAGGATAAAATTTGTTACAACTTTTATTCTAAAAGTTTTTCTGTATCATGCTCGAAATACCGTTTTTTCCATTAACAACTTGCGAAACACCGAATTCTTCTAATTTTCATATTTTCGAATTTTTCTCGACATTGATGCATCTGAGAGCAAAAGTGTTAGGAAGCAATGTGTAAACGGTAAAATTTGTTACAACTTTTCTCCTAAAAGTTTTTCTGTATCATGCTCGGAATACCGTTTTTTTTTCCATTAACCACTTGTGAAACTACGAATTATTCTAATTTTTATATTTTCGAATATTTCCCCACATTGATGCATCTGAGAGCAAAAGTGTTAGGAAGCAATGTGTAAAGGGTAAAATTTGCTAAAAGTTTTGTTCTAAAAGTTTTTCTGTATCATGCTCGGAATACCGCTTTTTCCATTAACCACTTGTGAATCTACGAATTCTTCTAATTTTCATATTTTTTAATATTTCTCCACATTGATGCATCTGAGAGCAAAAGTGTTAGGAAGCCAATGTCTAAAGGGTAAAATTTGCTACAACTTCTGTTCTATAAGGTTTCCTATATTATGCTCGGAATACCGATTTTTTCCATTAACTACTTGTAAAACTACGAATTATTCCAATTTTCATATTTTCGAATATTTCTGCACATTGATGCATCTGAGAGCAAAAGTGTTAAGAAGCAATGTGTAAAGGGTAAATGACTTCCACGTTGGTGGGATATCCGTTAATTTCAGATTACAAAAACAAATGGTTTCTGCCAGTAAACGGACATTCCTCGAACCCTTTATCAATCATTTTATATAGTAGTTTTAATGTTCTAAACAGCAGTTTTGATTGGAAAAACTTTTTGTGAGCGAAGTAGCACACATTTCCAGCGCCTATTCTGTCTTGTATTCAGTGTTGTGTACTATTATCATTTCTGACAAAAATGCCCAGGTTATGGAAGCAAATAAAAATGTTAATAAACATGATTTTGGTGCATAAGTTCAACCAACAATGTGAGTAAATTGAGATATCAACTCTACAAAAAACTGGATTGCAAACCAGTTAAAATGTAAAATTAATTATAAATTCATCAAACAAATTTTGACACATTTAAAAACGAAGATTATAATTATTATTGTATTTCCTTAAAATTTGACATATAAAAATTTTCTTTATTACAAGTGGTTACACAAATAACCTTATCACTATTTAGGGAACAGTTTATAAATGAATGTAGATATAGATAAAAACAACATCCAGCAGTCAGATTTTAATAAAAATTAAGTTGATAGTTAATGTGTAATAAAAAAGAAATAACAAAACAATATTATAAATCATACAAAACTTTTTTATTATAATAGTTATCTTTAATAAATCGATAACACTTGATCTCTATAATTAAAATTGCTACAAATATCAATTTTGGGGCTACTGCCAGCTAAACAAAGCACAGTAAATGGTTCTAATTGATAAGCAGCGCTATAAATGCTTGCGCTTGATGTTGGAATTTCGGAAATAATGTCTCCATTAAGACTCATTTGATAAAAATACTCTGAACTTCCCCCCGCTAACACATTATTGTCACAAAGATTTACAACATGAATTCCTCTATCTTCTATTGGAAAAACTGTTGAGGTGTTCAATGTTCGAAGATACCACATTGATAATCTTGGTCCCCCTCCACAAATCTACAATAAAAAATAATTTCAAATATTTATAGATTCCAATTAATTTTAAACTTACTAATAAATCGTCGTTACAATAAATAGCTCCGATCCATTTACCCAATTCAGGCCTTCCAAGTTTGTCATTTTTAAATGGTTCAATTTTATTAGAAACTGCTTTTCTTCTTAAATCCCAAATGCAAACTAAACCATCTTCACCACCAGATATTAACTCATTTCCACTAACAATAAGACAAAAATAAATATATCCCTTTTTTTTTCTAAAATAACAACTTACTTTTTGTATAAAGAATGAATGTAATTGGAATGTTTACTCAATGTATTTACAGTAGCCCCAGTTTCTATATTTATAACATAAACATTATTATCGCCACAACCAACATATAAAACTTCACCATCTTTATCATAAACTATACAATTAACATCACATTTCTCCAGCTTATCTTTCAAAATGGGAAGATCATATTTCCAACTTGGTTTAGCATCTTTTGTACCTTTTACTGCTTTCCATTGGTAACCATAAAGATAACCTCTTGTACCAACAATTAGAAAATTAGTCGTGGTAACCAAACTATTAATTTGAATATCCTCTTCCACTAATATCGTGTTTTTAGGGGCCCTTTCTTGTTTTGAAGCATTTAAATCTGGCTTGATTATTTTCGCAATGCTGTAAGAATTGATACATTTTTTTTTAAATAACATGCGGTAAAATCAACTTACTGAAATGTTAATATTTGTCCGTAGATATCACCGACTATTAAATAATTACCGCACGGTGAAAATGTTTGGCTTAAAACTGTGTTGTAATAATTTTTATTCATGATTTTAAAGTTGTTTATTACAACATAACCTAAAAATTATGACAATGTCACATTTAATGGTTTTAGAGATATGTAGCACGAGCGCCATCTATATGTCAGGAATATATCAATTAAAATATGACTATATAGGAATCTAACCTTAAACTCTTTATTTGAAATTATTCGAATGTAATTTATAACAATTTTCTAAAGGTAAAATTAAGTCTTGCATCTTTAGCTGTTTTTATGTTTGAATTAAAATAGCGTTGTAATAATTTTTATTTATTTTAAATTTGATTATGTCAACATAACCTATAAGCCATCTATAGGGCAGGAATATGTCAAAAAAAATGATAATACAGGAATTTAACTTTAAATACTTTATTATTGTAATATTTGAAATTATTGCAATTTATAACAATTTTCTAAAGGTAAGATTAATCCGTGCACCTGGAGCTGATTTTCTAATAGGTAAGGAATGATACCAAAACTTATTTGTTGGTGGGTTCATTAATAATAAACTTCCATGTTGTAGGACAATTTTAACTAAAAATAAATAGAATAAATTAGAAATTATGGCCATAACACTAAATAATACCTTTAGGAATATCTCGAATTTTCTTTCTAGCATCAGCATGTTTCAAAACAAATTCCCTTTCTTGTCCTAACGATAAAGATGCAATTGGAGTTTGAGGATCTAATTCTCCTTCATCATCTCTATGCTCGCCGATGTGATCTGAACCATTTCTATACCTAAAAATAAAATCATTTGCTTAACTTTTTAGGGTTAATATTTATAATAAAGACCTATTAACAAGAACGAAATTATATTTATAATTGGTAATTTCTTCAAGGTAATTGCGAATAAATTCTAGTTGTGGTGTCCAAGGTTTTGCAGGAATTGTTACACCGGAAAATTTATAAGAAACTCCTTCATCACCAAAAGCAACTTGTTGTCTAGGAATGTTGTGATATTTTCCAAAGACTTTAACCTAAAAAGTTAATGTTTTTAGGGCTGTTTTAATCAATGAAAATTAATTTACCTTTGTTAAATCACCAGTGTAATACTGTATTGAATCTTCAAGTTTTAAAAATATGTCACTTGCAAGTTGCTTATTAAATATTAAGGAATAATCTAGATCTAACCCCTCTGCAGAGTATTTTTTCCATGTTACTTTTTGTTGAGATAATTTCTTTAATTCTAATTCTAAATCCATTTTTTAGGTAAACATATTCAGAGATGTTTTAACACATTTTGCGTTTTATACACAAACGTTAATAATATAATTCGAACGACTTCAGTTTTCTCATCTAGAATACTCGAGCAGCTTTGGTTGCATAAAAATTTTCAAAAAGAATTTTTATTAATAAATAACATATTTATTTGAATTAATTATTATTAATACATCTGTAATTATGGATATGATTATTATCAACATTATAATTAATTCGTTGCTACATTTTGTAATATCTCTAATTATCATAAATCTACCAACGTTTATTTAATAATAAACTTTTATTAGATATGTCCCCGTAAACCAATAAGTATACATTTAAAAATAAACATCATTAATACCGTGTTTATTATAAACACCTACACAAACAATCAATATTTGCGGAAAGCGTGCATCAAGTTCTCTACGCGTACAGACGATTTCACGGTTCATTGAAAACCTGTTGTTCCGGAAAGTACACAAACGCTTCGTTGGCAAATTTTACTCCCTTCTCATGCTAATAAATTGTTTACCTTCCCATATTGTGCACTAAGTTATAAAAACTTAAAGAATTTTTTATGGTTACTTATAAAAGCGCTGTTGAGCAACAAAAATTTTTCCTTGCTCAAGGCTGCACATTCATCCTAGTTGTCTTTAAATTAGAATTTGACGGAAAATCAGAGAAATCTGAGAACACTAAGGAAATAAATTTAATTGCAGACTTTCTGATGAAATTGGCCAATTGTAATAAATCTAATTAAAAAAACAGGTGTATTAGAACACCAGTACATTGATAGATGTTTCAAAGATAACAAACTGACCAATAAAGGTTCGATTGAGTATTTATTAATGTTAGAAACGGTGAGTAGATTGGATTTTCAATACATTTTTTTCTCTATATTTTTTTTACTTTTTGCAGGTTGTACTACCCCAAGTTTTGTTTGAATAAAACGGGTTTGCCAGATTCTTTATAGTATGGTGAGAAAATCATGGAAAGAATGTCAGGAAATTGCGGAACTGAAATAGTTGTTACCTATATATAAGCTGAATTTAAACAAAAATCCGGATAGTATGTTGTTACTGTTCCAAGTATAGAGTTGAGTACTTAAAACATCATTCTTGGGCAGAACTACTGTTAGGGACATTTTGGCTCTCTGCTACCAATACATTTATATCACCAAAAAGGTAGTTCTCCAAGGTACTCTATTGTGAAATGCAGGCCACTGAAGGAAGTGAAGAAAACCAGAAATCGTTTTTTCGTTGCCTTGATGGTAGTGATAACTAATAATCAGAATAAGCAGATTAATTTAAGGCAATTGGTTTAAATATTACATTGTTGATACGAAATTTCACAATAGGAATTACGTCTTCTTCAGATGTGACATTGACTTGTCAGGTTTGTTGCGTTATTTGGTTACTTTTAATTGTATTGGTATTCTATAATACAAAGCACCGTGATCTATGTAGAGAAACACAAACAGAAGTCACAAAAGAGAAAGTTCTTAAAGAAGTAGCGGGTTGTCTATGGGATACTGTATGGCGGAATTGATTTAACTAACATATGGTACCGAGACGACAGCAGAGACAAAGAAGACTAAACAAAAGACGAGAGTAATGGCACTGAAACCAACACATCCATTAGAGAAATATGTAACATACTGGATGTAGTTAAATGGACTAAAACCAGAAAAAAGAAGTGGAAAGAACATGTAGAATGAAAGAAAGAGAGCACAACCTCCCAACAAATGGGTTCAGAGCTGGTTCTCTTCGACTGTGGAATACAACCCAAAACACGAGGCTTGACAAGCAGAGAATTGTTTCGAGTCCAAAGTAGCAGAAAAAGTGGGTATTCTGTACACCTTTGATTCAGCATCTATTGATTAAGCAGGTTGAAACTGTCATGAACCTTTTATATCAAATCATACATAACAGTGAAAAATTGTTGATTTTGAAAAACATTTTTTATGGTATTTTGACCAACACTGATAATCTTTCTGGCATGGTGTCGAACTTGCGGCCTTTTATAACTGCTGTAGGTAAATGGTCTTTTTTTCCAAACATTGATTGCTTAGTTTCTTTTCAATGTGTCTTCCTACCAGAACTAATTTTTCTCAGATCGTAAGATTCATATAGCAGATTATCCTACCCTTTACAATGCCTCTATAGAAACTAACTGGTATTGGAGGCATCTTTAGATGTTGATAAAGTAGGTGATGTGTTCTATATCTTTTTTGATTGATCTCTTTGATCGATGCGTGCCATACTATAAATGTGTTTTCTGCTTTACGTCATCATTTCATCAATAACAACAAATTTACTACTTAAAGTAAAAACTCAAAAATTATACAGAAGCCATAAAAGTTTTAGCTAACTTTAAACTGGAGTGAAAAGTGATTAAGGACTCTAACGACGATTGATTATAGGAATTAAATAGAAAGTTTTGAATGATCTATTGTGACTGATTGCAAAAATTATTATTTGATCGAAGTGGAAGCACTTAGATCCAAGAAACCCTGAAATTTAATATTCTTGTCTGCAGTGACTCGGAAAATGGGTTTCAAACATTACGATCTGTGACTTGAAGAAGAAGACATAGCTCTCCGTTCTTTTAAATCAATAATATACAAAAAGCCAGGTGTACCATAGATTTGTTATACATTGATTGGTTAGAATGTCTTCCTTTTAGTCATTAATATGATTTCAATTTCGTGTTTATTTCATCCTTTTCCTTTTTAACAGGAACCTTCCACTTCAACTTGGTGTCAAGTGTTATGTTTAAGTAAGTTGTTCAATTGTTGAAAAGAACAATTGTTCCGTTAATAACCAAAAGTGAAGGGCTAAAAATTTTGATTCATTCAATTCTGCAATATTCTGGCTGTTTGCAATACTTGTTATAGCCAGTATTATCTGATATACATCTGGTATATCACTGGTCTACAAGACATACAGTAGAGAGCCAAGAATACTTTCTAGAGGTACCCTTCCTTGAACTTCCTTGAAGTCTGAACATGTATATTCTTATTTAACCATAAAGAATCTGTTGGTTGTGCACAAATATCAAGATTTCTACACATTGCCTCATGTAAAAGTCTTCACTTGTAAATAGTTACAATTATAGTAGCATGGAGAGCATTAATTTGCTCATTTGTATTATCAACCTCACTGGTTATTAACAAGAAATGAATCTTTGACAAAGAAGTCGCAATATGCAACAATATTTAGAAACGCTTACAGAACAGTATGATCTCTTACATCCCCATTTAAAGATGACGTTATAAGCATTTGTCTGGGCAAAACTTACTTTGTAGATTTTGTTCAATTTGCCATAGTTGACATAATATAGTTATAATAGTTGTTGAGGTATTTCCGCAATACTAACATTTAACACATAACATAATCATTACTTATATAATTTAATCTCTGCAGCTGTGTATGTTGCTTCTATATTCACTTACTATTTCACATTAACTCCCTAATGGTTAGAACTAATCGATTCAACTTGGTGTTGGTTTAACCATCATGTTTCTGCTTTACGCCTTCTTCAGGTACATTACAAAATGTGTCAAAAATAAAATGTTATAATTTTTATGAATTAATATACTCCTTTGTTATTTTGTAATGTATTAATCGTGACAAGAATAATTGTCTTCTCATACTTTTAACTATTGAATAAATCCATATTCACCCAAGAACCGATTTAAAATAAATTTAATATTCCTTTCATGATTTTAGTAGACATAGAAAAATCTCGCAATTCTCATGTATCTGGAGTCGATTAGCGACGTCGCGGCGCACTCAAGTTGGACCTCTTCTTCTATCAGGTCGTGAGTCGGATCGTCATGTACGCGAAGAATACCAACGAGGAGAAAACGAAGACGATGAGCACCGCGTAAAAGTGGATGGAAGTAAGACGGAAATTGCCGCGTCCCCGTCTCGCGCAACCCCCGCCTGGGTCGGGTTTCGCGTTCGCGGTGCCACCGAACCGACGATGTCCGCGTCGAGAACTCACCGTCAGTTCACCGTCGACGACGGCCTGACCCGGTTTTACAATCCGCGTTTATTATATCCGCACACGATATACACGTGGACCAACTTCGTCGTAAACCAGAAGAAAAAATCTTGATACTTCTTTGGTAACCAACCACCTAAATCACTCGACCTTAGTTTCAATGTGAAATGGTACATTAAAAGAAATTTTTATTGTCCACTTTTAGCATCTAGACGAGGGGCACTCGATTATATTTAATTTGGTGAGTAATTTTTGATTTTTTTAATATTCACATTCTCGTTGTAAACTTAATAATGGAAAAAATTTTGGTTTAAATTTAGATTTTAAGTGAAACGATTCAACATGTTGTATTATTGACGGTTCAAGTACGTTTTAATTTTAATTTTATGGCTTTATTAAATCAGGGTTATTACAATTTAATTTTTTAAACCTTCAAATTCTCTTTTGATTTATTCTTATTGTTATTTTTTTATGTTCTGCATACTTAAACTATTTAAAATTACAAAAATACTTGATTACCTGATTATATTAATTAAAATTAACAAAAACTATTAATTGTTATCAAGTGAAATGTTATTGTTTTTATTCATGATTCACAGTTTATATTTTCCCTCAAGTACATTTCAATTTTCTGCGTAGTTAGACAATTTAATTAACTTGTAGAAATTGTTCTATTGTAAAAGCAAAAGTTAGTAACCATTAAATTAAACTAAAACTTGGATTTTATTTACTACTTCTTAAGTTAATTCAATAATTAAACACGTTAGTTATTATTAAGTAGTGATAGAATATAATTTAATTGCAAGAATAATAAATAATTATTATAAATTAAATAATTTAAATTTGATTCAAAATATAGCACATTACTCACGTCGAAAAGATGCTTTTCACACATCAGTCAGACATTCATTAGAGATATTTATTTATTAAAATATTTATTATCTGATTGAATTAAATTATCCCATAGAAATTGCACATAGTTTCACTGTAAGTTATACTAGCTGTTCTTTTTCTAATTTTTTTGTTATTACATCCACGTTATCCGTTTCATTACTTGAATCTCTTAACATTAAAATTTGATACCCACGAGTTAATGAAGTAATTTTTCAAAAAGTATGGTCTTTGAACGAAAAACGTTACATTAATACATATAATAACATATAAAATCCATAAAAATTCTTTCATTTAAATTTTTGAAAAAATTTCTCAATCCATGGAAAATGTTAGAAATCTCGGAATATCTTTATAAATCTCCAAAACCTTATTAAAAGTGGAAAGAATATCTTGATATATTTAGAAATAACTAGACACCATAGAAAATGTTAAGATATTTTCTTGAAATCGTGGAAAATTTACAAACCTTTAATAAAAGTAGGGTCTATATAAAAGCCTTTTGGGAACGTCTCATTTAATTGGCAGGTCACCAAAGACTCTTAGATTACAATTTACTCGATGAAATATGCTATCCATAAATGATTAAATGCGTTTAAGAGTGCGACCAACAAAAGTGTATATCGATTTCAGTTTTTCAATCAAAATTGAATTGAGGTGTTTAAGCAAAAGTGCAGAAACTTTTTGGTTTTTTCTGGTCTTGTAGCTCTAATAACAGCGCGGGCATATTTTGTCACATTATGTTCTTCGGAAATAGTTATTAATAATCTATGCATGATCTGTGGTTGTTGAAGCCCGGCTTGGTTTGCTCTCAGGATCTTATCTATTTTTGATTTAATCTATCTAGTATTATTCTAGTTAATATTTTCCTTGACATGTTTGTTAATGTGAGCTCACCCATTTTCATTGTATTTTTCTGCCATATTTTTTCCAATAAGGCATAAAAGATATTCTCAAATCACTTCTCATTGCTTACTTATTTAGTCCTTAATGGGTTCCAATTTAGTAAAATGCAGTACATATATCCTGTTTGTCGTTACTTGAGTGTCCAATTTTTCTCTTCGGTTTGTTTTATTTTGTACATATATTTAGAATAATGCACCCATTTTTTTATTTCTTCCATAGTTGTATTTGGTTTTTCATCTTGGCAAGAGTCGATTCATGGTGGTTTTTCATGACATCCTTAGAATTTCGTATTTATCTGATGCCTTTTCCTCGTTAGTTTCTTTATTATTGCATACAGTTTTCTTGTGTTATAGATTCTGGAAGCTTTTTCTGCTTCCTCAATCATATTTTTTAAATATTTTCGTTTTTCTCACCTATCTTTCTTTTAATCTTTCTAGATATTCTTGTTCTAGATATTTAGTTCGGAGTTGCTTCATCTATTTGTACAGTTCGTTCCAATTATTTACTTATACATTTTTCCTCTTTGTTCAATTACCTAACTGTGATGTTTCAATAGACAATTTTATCCCGTTTATCATGATTTGTAGCAATTCAATTTTCAGTTTGTCGCATTTTTTAGCGTTATCAAACCACCGTGTTATTTCGTTTTGTTTTGATTCTGATGTTCCCATAAGCTGTCATTAATTCGGTAAATTACTTTGATAACGTGAGCAGGCCATCAGTTGTACAGATGGAACGATGATTAAGAAATTAATAATTAATTAACAGATATGTAGGCAGTTAGTAGGACTAGTTGCTCTATTAATTGTTCTTATAAGGTAATTAATGATAATTAGTGATAGATACAATGTCCAAGCAGTTCAAGCAATTTGTTATTGTAATCAATTTATGAAGCGCTTCAAAAATTACTGAGTGAGCAAAATACAAACAAACAGTTACAACACCACATGACTCACAGCACAATTCTATTTATTCACAATGCACTCCCACAGATAATTCGATACAGATTCTAATGCGCTCAAGATTACTTTTACTTAGAATTAAAACAGCTCCATGTATGCGTTGAGGGCGTACAGAAAAGGTAGTTAAGTTCCGCTTTCCAATTTATTTCATTATTATGTATAATTGAAATTTCTCATGGATGTTCTGAACGCATTTATATAGATCATTTTAGGTTCTTTATTTCATTTTGTTGGGACGCTTCTACAGATAACCAAATGCTTAGCCATTTTCAAAGATTTCTTTAATTACAATTACTAAAATTTAAAGTTTCATTCAAAGTTTCTTACAAAACCAAATATGTTATTACTTGTTGCAAGAAAGAAATGTTTGTTTCTACTTTGTCCAAATTATCAATAACAATAATTACTTTTTTAAATTACTATTAAGTCCCGTAGATCATTGATAATTTTTTTTCATTTACGTTGAACTTACTTCCTTTGGGTTGGGTTGGGTTGGGTTTGGTTTGGTTTGGAGTGAGATGGGTTGGGTGTGGGTTCTGTAAACAGGGAGTATGGAGAAATAGGTACAACTTTGTACTACATAATATCTATGGATCAAATAGAAATAGGGATATAGTGATAACTATAAAGTTTACTAGAAGAACTATAAAGATGGGCAGGTCATGCGGTAAGAAATGGCGATGATGACCCAGCATAAAAAATATTTATGGCAGAACCTATAGGTACTAGAAATAGAGATTCTTACGGTGTAGATTGAAGCTCAACAAAGTCAAAGCTGTGGTCTGTGGTGGCGTTCCTATATTTTAAAGTTATACTTGGATGTGTGCTGCATTGATGTTTCTCTTTCTGTTCGTTATTGATGTAAAAGATGATGAGATGGACTTAAAGCCGAGAAGGAAAACTGTTGCTTTCATCTTCCTATATATACTTCTCCTGTTCCGTAATTTCTGCATTATTATCTTATTTACAAAGCATTAGTATTTTCTAATTTTGAGTATTCATGATTCAATACAAATTTTTTTAGCAATTCCTAGTAATCGTACAAACACATGTCTCTCATTACCTGACTAGCTATGGCTCATCGTGTAATGTATCCCTGCATTAATCTAACGATTTATTGTAAATATTATGGCTTTAGTGTTTAAATATTGTTTGAAATTAGAAACGTTGATTATACTACAAAGTTTTAACAAAAAATAAGTTATTCCAATTTCGTTTTAAATTTCTTTGTCGAATTAAACAAGAAACTTTTTTAATAAAAAATTACTATTAACCGTTGATGCACAGCATGATAAACTAGTCACGCAATTTGAACATTAAAAATTTCAAGTTTCAATGTCTTACATGATTCAACCTTACCTGGTATTTTATTATAAAAAAGTTAAAGATTAAATTGATGTTTACAAAAATTGAACGAAAAGGATTAAAGTTCAAAATAATTAAAACTTTGATTTTGAGAGAGATGAGGTTACGTTGAGACTGCTTAGCAACAGGGTATTGTAATAGAACTTCAGGGTAAAATGGAATAGTAATGTAACCACGTCTGGTAATCCTGGCTCATTTAGTAAACTACGATGGACTATTACGGTTTGTAATTTGTTATTTGAAACTTTGTTGTTAACGAAGATATTTGGTTCATTACACCAATCAAAACTTTCGGTACGAAATAAATTTACCGCCACATTTACATTTAAACGCTTTTAACGATACCTTCACATTATGAATTAATATGGAATTTACGGCAGCCAAAGTTAAGTTTTTAGTACGCATTGTTTCAAGATCTTCTCAACGTTGTTAATGTGACGTCGTTTTATTTGCGACAAATGTTATAAAACGAAAACATAAAATTAGTGGAAGGTGACATTGGAAAATGTTATTATATTTCTTAAATTATTAAATAATACTCTTGAATAATTGAAGATGGTCAGTAATAATTCAAAAATCGATACTCATTTTTTTTGCTACAATTTATTTTTAAATGAACAAAAAATTGCTTTGTAAAAACCAATCAATAAAATTGCTTTCATCAATAAAAGATGTCATAAAGTAATTACGTCGTGGAATAGATATCATGTCGAATCGAAACCTCATAGTAAAATATGCAAAGGCACTTAAAAGTATTGATAATATATAATTGGTTTGGGATTTATTCCAAAATCAAACGAACCATTAAACGTTGTTTTTTTCTTATTGGTTCATAAGAGAAGAAAATCATACTGTTTAAAAACTTGCGTGGAGTTACGACAGTCGATTTAATTTTATTCATATAAAATTTATTATACCTATAATAATTATGCAACTTAATAATGACGCTTATAATTTATATTGTTTTTACAACATTATTTATTCATGTAGCATCACAATAATTGTCGAAATAAATTTTTATTATTAAATAAAAAAACTCGTGGGAATGATGAATGTTTTAGTTGATTGTATGTACATCGTATAGATTTACTTGTAGGAAAAACATGACCTAGTTTAA